CTGAAGCATATAAGCCACCTGATATGTATGCCACACTCATTGGCTCTAAAGAAGTGCCAGACACCACATCAAGTGTTCGACATACCTCATCTCGTTTAATGGTCCCACCAACCCTGACAGGTTGGTATTGTCATCCCATCCAGAAGGCTGAGTGTCAGAGGTTAAGGAACTAATTAGCTGTGTAGCCTGGAGCGTAGACACTGGAGGTAGTGTCAGGATTTGAACCCAGATTTGGGTGGGTCCAAACTAAGCTGAACTACCAACCTTCATGTGAGTGGGGTACTAGAGAGTAGTTAGACAGTAAAGACACCCTCTTGGAGAGCTCCTTTTTCTAATCTTCCTGGCAGGTCACTGGCAGACCTCCTCCCTTGTGGGCCACAAGATCTCTGGGGACTGGGCCCTGTGACCTCTCTGTCCTCCTGGCAACTCTATAGTAACTAGCACTCTACTGGCCGGGGGTCATTTCTCCCTCCTTGCTCCTCCCTGGATCTAAAATTGGCCTCAAACAGTTAATGTTGCCCAGTGAGTCTCTCAGAGGGAGGGACTTGGGACAGTTTATTACATGATACAGGAGATTTATTGGAGACCAGAGGGCTCAACGGAAAACATTCTTGATTTGTTTCCAGTTGGACAGGCTTGCTGGAGAGATGCAATTGGCCATTTCAAATTAGCCTCTTGAGTCACAGCAGACCCTGATCACAGAGGTCTCTGTTTCTCGGGAGAGATGCACAGACATCTGGCGAGTCCTGCCTCTCCACAGGGGTTTGCAGCATGGCCAATGCCATCACCATAGACACTGGGGCCCTATCCAGTGACCTGTGGTCCATGGCTACTCATGCCCCAGCCTCATGCTAACTTTACCTAAACCTCGGGAATGTTCTCAGCTATACATGGGGAGACTGAGAGGTCATTACATTACTTAGATCAGGGCTAGGGGCAGTAGCCTGTGGTTAAGCCTGTGGACTCATGGTGCCCAGACTGGCTGGGTTGGAATCCCGGCTCCACCATTACTAGCTCTGTGAACTTGGACAGGTTTCTTCCCCTCTCCGTGCCTCAGTTTCTGTATCCAGAAAGTGGGGATAGTAGTATTATCTATCTCCTAGGGTTGTTTTAAGGATAAAGTGAGTTACCTCTCATAAAGTGCTTAGAAGAGTTCCTGGCATCTACAGAATGAGGGCACAGTATATATTAGCTACCATCGTTGCTGTTAGTATTATTAATACCCTTTGGGGTAATAATTTCGGTTTGAAGTGTTAAGGATGCCTGTTGGAAAATCTTCATAAATTATTAGGACTTAAAGGATACACAGTCCTGAAGGCTTGATCCCTTTTAAGGCAAGAGGGGCTCAGAGGGGAGGGCCTGTGAACACTCGTGCAATAGTTGACCTGAAATGAAGTTTTTGGCACCATCTTCACAATTCCTAGATGGCTAAATGCCATCACGGTTAGGAGTTGGACCTTTTTTGTGAGATTAAGATAAATGTAAACTGTGGAATTTTCAGGTTGCTCAGAATTTCTTCATTCATTCAGCAGCCCTTTGCTGATCCCTACTGTATGTCAGGCCCTCTGTAAGCCTCTAGGAAGGCTGAAGGTTGAACTTATCTGTTTCCTCCTCTCTTGGCTGACCACAAGGACACACAACCACACACTTACTGCTTGCACACACACATAAAGATGTGCTCACACAACGCATGCATGTATTGCCTACAAAGTTACGTTGGCTGCTGCACAGGGAACTGAGGGAATTTTATTCAAAAGTCTCAGTCTGAATTGGTTCCTTTTGCATTCGCATATTCTGTGTGCCGAGTAGCGAACTAGAATTAATTTTAATAAGACAGAAACTGCCATTCAGCTCCAAACCACCGTCCAGGCCTCAGACTTTATTTTTAACTTGGAGTGACAGCAGCCACCTGGCGGAGCACTGGCAGGCGGTTCGCCTCGCCTCTGCTGAAGCCTCTCCCACCAGCCTCGCCTCCAAGAAGCTGCTTGGGAAGCTGTGTTTGTCTTTTGTATGCTAGACAAGGAGAGCTCCGGAAGGGCTGTCACCCAGAGAGACCATTTCCCTTTGCTAAGATTGGATAACCAACGCCAAAGCTGAAAATGTCAGTAAAAACAAACAGTATTTCAAAAGGGCCTTATGAGTCTTCCTCCTCTCTGCTCCCCTTGCCTCGTCATACAGGTGTTGTGGGAGATGCTTCAGAAGGACACAATTAGACTCAAAAATGAATTGATTGCACAAAAACACATATTGTCTATTTTGCCTAGCTCTAATGCTTTTTTAAAGCACCGACGTGAATGACACAAAGAAAAGAAAAGAAAACCAATTGATCTTAGCTTATGTCTTCTCCAAGCTCCATTTCTTGTGTCTTCTTTTACTATTTTCAGTCAAGAAAGATCCTGCAGGAGTTTAACAGTTCTCTTCTCATCTCGTCTGAACTTGTGAGGCACTCTTTTCTAGTGGTTGGAACCTGTTTCGTGCTCGGAAATAAGAAACCAGGTGTTGCCTGGACAGCTCAGTAATACTGACGCTCTCTTTGTCCTTAGGGAACAGTTGTTGAGGTGTACCTCTCTCCTTTAGAGCGAAGCCTTGCTCTAATGACATGAAAGGATCCTAGGGCACACAGCAAAGTGGTTCGGACCACGGATGTTGGCGTTAAACAGACCTGAGATGGGGTTCCAGCTCTGCCACTTAATAGCTGGGCGACTTTGGGGAGGTGTTCAATCTTTCTGAGCTTTGGTTTCTTCACCTATAGATAATACATACATATATGCATAAAGCTCGCCTCTCAGGGTTCTTGGAAGATGATGCAACACAGCTAGTACTCAGGGATACTGCAGTAACAGGCCCTCCCCACACCCCCCATTGCTATCAGCTCAGAAATGTAGAACAAATCAACTGGAACTCAGGAAGCCAACCACGGGCTCTGGACAGAAATTCTGACTTCCTTGAGCAACTCACTTCTTTGAGCCTCAATTTTCTCATTGATGCATAAGCAGAGTCTTCCTGACTACCTCTGGACCTTTGCGAGTGAGTGGCAGAGTCTGAAGGAAAGCCAGCTCCGTCTGAATCCAGACCTGGTTCATAGCTAACAGGGTGGTGCCCGGCCTGGCGCGTGGGCCGTCGCGTGGTGGGCCCCGAGTAAATGTCAGCGAGCTTCTTTAGAGAGGACGGTCTCTGAGGCTCCCGGAAGTGCTCAGGGGAAATCACGCCTCACCAGGACAGCCTCAGTGACCCAACCTTTCTGTGTGGGAGTTTACTCGAGTGCAAACTGGAGACAATGCAGTCCCAGGAGAATAATGAGTTTTCAGTTAAGGTCTTTGAAGACTTTTGAGATTGTTACACAGGATCAGGTAGAACCAGATGATTTTTCAGCTCCTCACTGAGATTTCAGATTAATGTCTATGAAACGCACAGAAGTCCTTGGATTAAGTCTTTCTTTAACTAGTTGATAGCATTTGAGCTTCATTTTGAATGCCATTAACTTTTGGGAACAAACAATAGGTCTTGGATGTATCTGTCAATATGTTAAAAGTGTGTTTTTGAGGAAATTTCAGAGTCATTTATTCATTCAACAAATACTTGTTGAGCACCTGCTCTCTGTCGGCCACTGTTGTGACTGTTAGAGAAACAACTGTACACCCGCAGAAGACTTTCGCTCTTTTGGAGCTTCCATCATAGAAAAGGCTGATGGGTAATAACTGAATGCACAAATGAATCACCCAGTTGCCGTGAAGACACGAGAGCGGGGAGAGGTGAGGGAGACGCTGCGGGTTGGATTCAGTGTTCAGAGGAGGACTCTAAGATGAGGTGATGAGGAGTTGAAAGACAGAAATGTAGTGATCTGAGGATGGAACATTCCAGACAGAGGGGAAGGCGGATATAAATGTCCTAAGGTGGGAAAGAGCTCAGGATATCCAGAGGAACTGAAGAAGAGCTTTGTGCCTGGAGCAGAGTGAGCTACTTAAAGGTTCGAGAGGGAGACGGGAGCCAGATCATGTAGGTCTTATCAGCCAGTTAACTGAACTTATTCTGGGTGCAACCAGAAGCCACTGAAGGTTATAAGCAAGGGAGAAACACCACGTGATTGTGGAAAAATGCTCATAAAATAAGATTAAGTGGGAAAAAAAGACTCCCAAATCTAAAACTGTATATTCAGTACCATTTTAACTATGCAAGCATATATATACGTATATATGTACACACACGTGTACATATATACACACATATACACACACGTACATATATACATATATACACACACATACATATACACGTATATATACACACACGTACATATACACGTATATACACACACGTACATATACACATATATACACACACATACACATATACGTATATACACACATGTACATATATACACATATACACACACACATATATACACATGTACATATATACACATACACACGTACATATATACACATGTACATATACACACATATATAGACACACGTACATATATACACGTATACACACAGTACATATATACACGTATATACACACACGTACATATATACGTACACACATATGTACGTATACATACACACACATATATTCAGAAACAAACTGAAAGAAGATACAGCAAAATATTTAATGAAAAATGTTTGCAATAGCTTTCTTAGTGGTGAACTCACTTTCCCTTCATTTCTTCCCTGAATATTGTCAGTTTTCCACAAGTTATTACTTTAATAATTATAAAAATGTATTACTTTAATAATCAGAAATAAATCCTATGCTTTTTTAGAACTCTGTTGTGGCGCCATTGGTGGAGAGCATTTAAGAGCGCCGCTGTCTATCATGTCTTATCTCAGCTTGGAGCTTGCTCTAATGGTGCTTTGGGATGCTGGCATGAATGCTGAAGGCTCTGGCCAGTACAGAAGTTTTTTAATGAGTTTTTTTAATGACTCTACCCTAAAACGCACTTACCTTTCCCAAATTATTTATGGAGAAGAATCTAACATTTCTGCTTCATCTCACAGATTTGAATATAACCTGCCGATACGCGGGTGTATTCCATGTGGAGAAAAATGGTCGCTACAGCATCTCGCGGACGGAGGCTGCTGACCTCTGCCAGGCTTTCAATAGCACACTGCCCACCATGGCCCAGATGGAGAAAGCCCTGAGCATCGGGTTTGAGACCTGCAGGTAAGAGACCAGAACCTCCGCTGCAGAAAGCTGGCTGCCTGGCTCCAGGGGGTGGGGCTTAGCGTGGAATAGGCTCCTCCCTGACAGCTGAATGGATGGTTGCCTGAAGGGTCAGCCCCACCTATTAATTTGGCCAAGTCAATCTGGAACCTGGGTGACGGCTGGAATTTAAAGCCTGCTAAAGATACCTTTGTGAATCATAGTGGGGTTGCCCAGAGCAGGCCATTAAGGGTCATGGGGTGGAATCCTCCTCTTGCCTCAAGTGCTTCCACTGGGCTCTCCGGCTTTGAAGAAGCTGCAATATCATTGTCAGAACCACAAGAGAACGTAAACCAAATAACAGAGTTTAAAATAAATATGTGCCTGGTGGAGTCTTGGCGCTGCAGACTTGGCTCAAAGCAGAGTTTTCAAAAAACTCTCTCTCTCTCTCTTTGTTTCTCTTCTATGTTGCTCTGGTTTGGGAGGGTAAACAAAAGGCCGTGAAAGTTACTAAGATCTATTATTATGAGTGATTGGGAAGCGATTGGAGGGACCCAGGAAGGCCTCCTGAGATGCTTCTGACCTGACATCACAGTGCTCCGTGGAGCCCTCCTCAGGCCTTCTGCTCCAGGACAATCACAGCAGACAAGGGCCTGTACTTCTTCGAATTTCCCGTGGCCCTGTGGCGAGTGGTGCGCATTAAGAGCAGCAGCGGTGAGGACCCTGCTGAGGTGTTAGGTTTGGTTTGCTTTCGTTAGAAGAGCTCTGGGTCATCTGAAGAACCGCTCTGAAGTTTGCACCCCAGCCTGCCGTCACTTCCTCTGTGCTCTTGCAATGTCATGTCATTAGGAAATGTGGTTCCCCTTTCTCTTCCTTGCACATACGTGCAAACACGACTGCTTTTTAAAAGTCAAGCTGCAGAACTAAATGTAAGGTAAATATGTCTATCCCCTATCCTTGGTTGCAGAGTAAGTCACTTACATGATGAGTGGTAGCGGAGACTCTTGCTGAAAAGGAAAAGGAAAATCTTACTCTCAAATTGCACTGTCTGTGGTGTGGGCCCAGTGGTGCAGCGGTTAAGTGCGCGCGCTCTGCTTCGGCGGCCTGGGGTTGGAAGGTTAGGATCCCGGGTGCGCCCATGCACCGCTTGTCAGGCCATGCTGTGGTGGCGTTCCGTGTGAAGTAGAGGAAGATGGCCACTGATGTTAGCCCAGGGCGGATCTTCCTCAGAAAACAGAGGAGGATTGGCAGCAGATGTTAGCTCAGGGCTGATCTTCCTCACAAAAAAATAAATAAATTAAATTAAATTGCACTGTCTAATATGGTAGCCACCGGCCACAGGTGGTGATTTACACTTAATTAAAACTAAATAAAGCTAAAACTTTAGTTCTTCAGTGGCACTAGCTACACTTCAAGTGCTCAATTAGCCACAAATGGCTAATGGCTACTGTATTGGACAGCATAGATTATAGAACGTTTCCATTATCGCAGAAAGTTCTATTGAGAAGCTCTGCTCTAAGACAAAGAGCAGATGTATGCGGACCTCTGTATGTGTTCAGAGCTAAGTCTGGGAGAATAGAAAAGGAGCAGAGAAAGGGAGATAGCTCTGGTAGCCACGGAGCCTGACCTGTAGGCTGCAATGAGGGAAGGCCAATGAGCAGATCCATTTCTTCTCTTCCCAAGGCTAAGTGTTTAAATACAGCCCTGACCAGACCGGTAGCCTAAGAAAGTGGATTTGGTAAGCTGAATTTTTATTGTGAAATACAGACAAGGTATGCTTATGAAATACAGAAATCTTCTCATGTGCCGAAAACAAGGGAAGTTCTTACCACTCCCACTGGCCGATCGCGGAACACTAAGATGCTGGGCGCCCTGCTGCCCACTGGTCCACATCCCCTCGCTGAATCCTCAGACTG